GCAAGCCACCTGTGCTCCTCTCTGAGATGGAGGTAATTGGGTACACACAGATTTAAAGGAGAAAAGAGATGGTATAGGCAACCTTAACCCTGAACCTGGCATTCAGCTAATGGCTGAGTTGACATGGTTATCTCTCTAATGGTGAGTATGAGGCCAGAGTTCTTCACTGGACTCCTGTATTTTGTATTCAGATTCTTTCTCTGGGTCTAATCTAGTTTTTAAATTCCATTCTGTAGTGGGAAATTCAAATACTAACTTAATAACCTGCTCCCTAGTGCCCACTTTGTGCTGAGCTTTGAAGATAAATAATAATAGGACAGATGCTCTCTTACCCCAAGGTGCAGACACTGATGGGGAGACAGGCATGAACCCGCCACTGACAAAACAGACTGTTTACCTAGTCTTGTATCGAACTGAAAGTCTCACAAGCATAATTTAGGGTGGGCTTGCCACACCTGCATTATGTTAGGGTTGGGGCTGGCCATGGGAGAAAGACCCGGCGCATGACTTACAGTGTGGGGCTTTGGATCAGGCCATACCCACCTGGACAGAGACTGTATGTCTGTTCCTTTGGCCAATCGTCATGTGAATCCTCCCTGAAACAAACCATAAGCAATTCCCAGGGTGTCTGTGAGTCTTTCTAGCAAATTCTCAAAACTGAAGATGGTTTGAGTCTCTCAAACTTACAGCTGCCGTGTCAGAAGTGAGGGTGTCTTTGCTTGTGCACCTGCACCTCAAGTTGTACCCAGCCCCAATCCAACACAACTTCTTTTTGATATTTTCATTTATTTTATGTGTATGAGTATTTTGCCTGTATGTGTGTACATGCAACACATGTGTGCAAGGACCATAGAGGTCAGAGTGAGCACTGGATCCCCTAGAACTGGAGTCACAGACAGTTGTTAGCCGCTATGTGGGTGCTGAGAACCAAACCCTGGTCCTCTGCTGGAGCAGCCAGTCCTCTTAACTCCTGAACCATCTCTCCAGGGCCTCAACACAACTTCATACATGGCATTTTTTCCCATCCTCACAATAACCTCCTGAAGGAGGCACTGTTGTCCTTAACTCTGCTTTCCAGGTGGGGAAACTGCATTAAACAAGCTGACTGAAGTCACACATATCCAGGGACACAAAGGTGAACTCTGAAAGTAAGCAGCAGGCACTGGAGTCCAGGCCTGGACCACTGTAGGGCACCACCCAATTGAAACTGACAAGAAGGGACCAGGTACAGGCAGAGCTGGGACACGCAAGGGATTGCTTCCAGACAGGTTCCCTGTAGAGAGGAGGGACCTACTGATGTTTTTTAAGCAGGGAATTGTGAGAATAGCTTGTGGGTTTTAGCTAGGTCCCGCTGGACAGTGGGAGTGTGGCCTACAGACAGAGAGAGGGGGAAAATGTCCTGGAAATGGACAGCGGGGGATGCTTTCCAGATCTACGTAAAGGATGGACATGTCAGGGCTTTCAGACAGACTGAATTTGAGATATAGAGAGCAGAAGGAACTAAGAGCAAACTCCGGGCTTCTGCATTAGACAGTCAGAGTGCCCAAGTCCCCGTGGTTAAGAAATACGGAAGGAAAGCAGACCTGACAAGATCCACACAGGCACCACAGAGTCCCTAAGGGCAGGACTGTGCCCACACACTACATAGCATTCCAGGTCTAAATCTGTTGCCAAGCTAGTACTGCAGAGTGACCACCAGGTGGCAGCATAGGCCACCTTTGTCAAGGCTAATCTGGAAGGCAGGATTGAGAGGGGTGAAAAAAGTTTCACCCAGCTGAGGGTGCTGGAGGTTGGTGCACTGGACCACACTAGAACTACATGGGACCTCAGCCAGTGTCTTGCCTCAAGGGCAAGTTCCTGCAAGCACAGAGTCCAAAGAGCCCAGTGGAGAAGGCAGGGGTCCTGGCCTCCTGATGCCTCCAGACCAGGGCAAGTGCCCCCTGAAAGGCTCCTGTTTGGGAATTTACATTTTTTTTTGCTGGCTTTTCATGCACAAAAACTGTGGCCTTGAAGCAGATTTTGAGAGGCAGCATCTTTGCTTTAGGAAGTCCTGAGTCACCCCCCAGCTGTAGCCACTATGTAAGCTGAGACCCGGTTTATACTGGTCTGCAGTGATTGGAGTCCTGGGAACCCTCTCATGCTCACACAACCTAAAACCCCCTCACCTGGCATCAAGGCCCTTCACCCCTATCTTTCCAGTGTCTCTCCCACTCTTTGCCTCTGTCCCCTCAGACCTTCTGGTCACCTGTGCCCATCTTCAGTGTTTCTATAGGAACGCCCTTCCCCTCTCCTTTTGAGTTAAATTCTTCTAATGTCAACCCTGGGGGTCTGCTTCCAGAAAGCCTGCTCCAGTGCTCCTTAGGGCATCACTCCTCTCCCAAAACAGCCCTGGCACTGCCTCTCCGCCCTCCAGCGGACACCAAGAACCTCAAACAAGTGAATCCTAAGCTCCTCCAGGGTAGGGATTATGGCTGACTGCCTCAGAGTAGTGTGTCAAGCCTCACCTAGCTGGCATCTGGCAGACCAGGCAGGCCTTAAGGAGCACACACTGAGATCAGTGCAAAAATGAAAATGTGCATGCAGCCACTTGCTCAAATAACACTGTGAATTCCAACGTGGTAGCAGAGGACTATCAAGTCAAGCCCAGGTCACACATAGGAAGCCACCCTGACTGGATATTTACTGAGCATCTTCTATGTGCCAGACACAGTTCCAGGCCCTTCAATCAGCAGTGAACAAGACACCTGAAGGGCTGAATTTCAGCCAATCTGCCTCTAGTGGCAAGACTTGTCAGTCGGGAAGCCAGCTGCCTTCTGCTGGCACAGCCACAATCCAGCAGGGCTGTGGTTCTCCCAGAAGGGGACTTCTTCAGGTCACACAAAGGTGTGCTGACACATGCAGCTGTGCTTCCAGGCTGCTTGACAGAGAGGGAAAAGAAAATGAGACAGGGAGCTGGCGATGAGGGTTTAACACCAAGGCCAGCGCACACTGAGGCACATCGATTTGAATGGATGGACACACTGCAACCAGACATCTCAGGAAGACAGTACAGAGGCATGCATAGTATGGCCCTAAGACACTAAGAAATCACTGAGGCCAGGCAAGATGGTTCAGGGTCTAAAGGTGATTGCTGCCAAGCATAACTGCCTGAGTTCAATCCCAGAAACCACATGGTAGGAGAGAACCAACTCTGACATGTCATCTGATGTCCACAAATACACAATGGCACAGGCATGTACAGGCACACACACACACACACGATATATATTTAATTTTTAAAATATGTGTGTGTGTGTGTGTGTGTGTGTGTGTGTGTGTGTTGCCTGCATATATGTAAGTCTTACAATGCCCATGGAGGTCAGATGGTATCAGATTCTCCTGGAACTGGAGTTACAGATGGTTGTTAGTCGCAATGTAGATGCTGGGACTCAAACCCAGGTCCTCTGCAAGAGCAGCCAGTGCTCTTTGCTGCTGAGCTAACTCTCCAGCCCCTAAAATATTTTTTAAAGAAACCATCCGAGTGGTGGTTTTTTGTTGTTGTTGTTTTGGGTTTTTTTGAACTTTTTTTTTTTTTTTTTTTTAATTTTTTTGAGACAGAGTCTCCCTATAGCCCCAGCTGTCCTGGAACTCACTATATAGACCAGGCTGGCCTTGAACTCACAGAGATCTGCCTGCCTCTGCCTCCCTGCCTCTGCCTCCCCAGTGCTGGGACTACAGGTGTGCACCACCACGCCCAACTCCAAGTGGTGTTTTTAAACTATGTTTTAAAGCATGTTCTTCAAAGCTTAGTGCTCCCCTGGGGGCAGCACTGAGACCACAAGTCCAGGCACTGGGCGTTCAAGCCCCCTTCCCTTCTTTCACCCTTGTCAATCCCATATTGGCTTTTGTTTGAAGAATTCTCCCAGCTCAGGAAGAGCAAGACACTTGCCCAGAGTCACACCACAGGAGAGAGGAGAGCCAAGCAGGGTATTCAGGCACTGAGGCTTCAGGGTCCAGGGCCAGCCAGGAGCTTCCAGGTCTGGTGTGGGAGAAGAGGAGGCAGAAACTGGAGTTTTAGAAAAAGTGAAGTCATGATGAATTGGAGTCAGGAGGGCAGGGGTGGGAAATCTCAGCTACAGAGATTCAAGGTCAAGTTCCATTCTCAGAGGTCAAAGGGAGAGGGTTGGGAAATGCTGGTTCATTGTCCTGGTCATTTAACTAGTACTTACTGAACACCTATGCTGTGTGACACAGTCCCCCACTCGCTGAGGCCCTCCAGGGCTTGAGGGCCGAGGTAAACACTGTTGTTATAAGAAAATAACAGCTGGTCATAAGGGATCTGACCCAAAGGAAACAGGCTGGGTGGAGGGGCTGCCTGTAGGTGGCCTGGTTCCTAGGAGGTGGTCAGGGAGGGCCTCCCCGAGGAGGTGACATTTGAGCCCCCAGTCTGACTGAACCCGGGCCAGCTGCCGCGTGGCTTGCCGGAGAGCCTGCAGATCCACCCTGCAAGGAGAGGCTGCCGGAGGGGCAGGAAGTCTGGGCCCCTGTAACTGTATCCCCAGGAAGGAGGAAGCCAGGCCGGCGCTTTCAGCAGTTCTATTCATCAAGGCGGAGCTCTAACCCCAGGCAGCACCCGAGGCTCCTCTGCAGTCCACCTTCAGCCGCCTGGGGAGGAGGCAGTGAGGGAGGGAAGGAGGAGGGAGGTCGGGAGGGGGCCCTGGATCCCCTTCCAGACAATAAATGCTTCCAGGTTCCCGGGAGCATTCCGCGGGTCACAACTGCATCTGATCTCAATTACCCCCGGTGTAGGGTTCCCGGGTGGGGGGCAGGGGTGGAGGGGAGGCCGTTCCTCCATAATCAGAATCTCCTGGCCCAGTCATCGAAGATCCCTCAGGATGGGTCCCCAACATCTCAGGACGCAGGGAGAAGACTGTCCCCAGGAAGAGGTCCAGGCCCCGCGGTGGGTGGAGGCCAGGGCCCTACTTCACAACCGTTTTGCTGTGTGACCTTGAACCACTCACCTGACTTCTCTGGGCTTAGTGGGAACAGCAAAAGATTCCACTTCTTTGAGCCTCAGTTTCCTCCTACTCACCTCCAGACGGGACAGAATGGGACATCAGGATTCAATCCACTACAATCCACAACCACAAAAGTGGCTGTTCCGGACACACCGAGAAAAGGGTCCCTGACACCGTCAAAACTGTGATTGTGTCAGACTGTGATTGGCGACCTTGAGCCAGTCTGTCCCCTTCCGGGCCACAGTTTCCCCATCCATCATAGCGCTAGCAGGCAAAATCCTACCTAAAAGAGGGTCTTTCAGGCCCCGATGTGGGCACCCCGGGTCGCACTAGCTCACTAGAGCTGTACTGGCGGGTTCCCATCAGCTGGTAAAACTTCCCATGAAACGCGGTCCCCGCCCCCGACCTGCGCCTTCCGGAGGATGCCAGGGCCACCGCGCGGAGCAGGCAGCCTGACCCAGTGGATCTGCGCAGCGCGCGGGGATTCGAACCCGGTTCTGGAGCTGCAGGGCGTGGCCACTGAGCATGCCCGGAGCGGATGACCGAATCGGCGGGGCAGGGGGCTCTTCTTTTAAGTCTGTGCCGGCCGGGAACTCCCCGCCGGGACAATGAGCGCTTCCTGCCAGCCGGCCTGGCAGTGGGCCGCTCCCTCCTCCGCCCTGTGGCCGCCGGGAAACGCGCCGAGCCGGGTCCCTGCGCGAGTACTCGGGGTCGCGCCCCGGAGAGCGCTGGGAGGGGCCTCGGCCCACGGCCAGGACCACAGTGTAGGAAAGCAAGGTGACCCAGAGATGGCCAGCCTGCAACTGGGGTGCGCCCACCACCTAAACTAAACACCAGGAGCACCCAAGTGAGCGCGCAGGCACCATGCACGCGCGTGCCGAAAGGTGGCCCCACTCCCCTGGCGACAGGCATGGATCTGCTCTGTGCAGCGACCCCCACAGTGCTGCACTGCATATCCAGTTATTAGCAAATACAGCTTGGACCTCTGCAACCTACCAGGCTGGGGACTCAGTAGAGGAAAATTCAACAGAGGCTCCCGCTCTGGTGCGGGAGAAAGTCACAAGCATCATAAATCACGTGAATTATGACTAGCTGGGGAGATGGCTGAGTGGGTAACAGGCCGTGCAAGTATGAGGACCTGAGTTCGAATTCCCAGCACCTACATAAAGCGCCATCAAGGCTTGACTGCAAGTATAAGCAAACTGCAGTGTTGTGGTGGTGGAGACAGGCAGAACCTGGGAGCTGGATGGCTGACCAGCCTAGCAGAAACAGCATCTTCCCCTGGCCTCTGCAGGCCTGTACACACCCAAATGCATACTTACATGCATGTACCACTACACCACAAACATACACAACACACACACAATGTTTTAAAATGTGTTATGTCATACGTTAAAGGTACATTACATTTTATAGAGCACAGCGAAGAGGGGACTGGCACCCGGAAACTGTCTGTTTTAAATAGGGTGGTCCGTTAGCTTGAGCGAAGATGCACAGAATGTGAATCACTAATAAACAAATGCATTTCAAACAGTAAAAATAACACGCTACCAAGCCTAGGCACTGTGCCACTGTGTATATGCATGCACACGTGCGCACGCACACACATAAAACTTGTGTGTCCACTATGTGCAAGTCCATATCCCTATCTCTACTGTCTGTCACCCAGGGCATATCTGCCCCTTAGATGTCTGTCATTACCCTGGGTAGGCTCATCTGTGTCACAGACCTCAAGTCTCTGTCTCCTAATCTCAGAAACTGCATGCTTTATCATACATCCCAAGACATCATGCTACATTGGTTTGCACGCCTTGTGTTGCCATTTTCATGTAAAAATAAGCACATGTGTGTCTCACATGCCCTGTACAAATGTAATCTGTGCACACCATGCAAACTCACCTCCATGACTTGCACATAGACACATTTCACATGTATTTCTCACTTGTTCTCTTCAAGCTGTTTGATACATCCTATATGTGCATACCACGTGCCAATGGCATTTTCTGGGTTCTTGCTATGTGCCAGATCTAGAGCTGGTAGAGTACATCTGTATGATGCATCTGTGTAGTAGGTGTGCCCCATCAGCCTGGCAGTGCAAACTCATTCTGCAGTCAGACTGCCTGGGTTTGAATCCTGTGTCACTGTTACCTGGCTGACAGTTTCTGTTTCCCCACCTGTGAAATGGGAGCTGGGAGCAAGTGTAGTGCTTACTTTTCTAGGATTGTGGTTAAACCAGCAAGATAAGCACCAGGTACAGCACCAGGCTTCATGTGGGCTCAACAAATGTTAGCCAGGATTTTTAGCCATCCTACAGAGGAAGAGGCAGGCTCAGAGAGGTTAAGCGACTTACCTTTAGTGATTGTCAACCTGACAGGATCAAGAATTACCTTGGAGACATATCTCTGAGCATGTCTGGGAGGAAGATTATAGATTGGGCTAACTGGGTGAGAAGACCCACCCTCATGCGAGCAGCACCCATCATGGGCTGGAATATGAACTAGGAAAAAAGACACTCAGCAAACTGAGCATCCATCTCTCCCTGCTTCTTGACTGCAGACACAACTCAACCAGCTGCCTCAGACTCCTGCTGCCATGCCTGCCCTCCCAGGATGGACTGTACTCTCAAACTGTGAACCAAAATAAACCCTTTCGCCTTAAAAAAAAAAATCAATGCATTCATTTATTTGTATGAATGAGTATGTATGTGTGCCGTGGTGTGCACATGAAGAATGGAGGACAACATGTGAGAGTCAATTCTCTCCTTCCACAATGTGGGCTCCAGGGACCGAACTCAGGTCATTGGGCCTGCGACAAGCACCTTCACCCACTAAGCCATCTCACTAGTCCTAAACTTTCCTCCTTTAAATTGCTTTTATCAGGTATTTTATCACAACAAGAAAAGTAACTAACACGCCAGTGGTCACACAGTCTGCCAGTGGAGGAGGCAGGCCCTGATCACAAACCTGTATGACCACAGTCCACTATCTCCAGCCATACCACCCTGAATGAATCCATCTCATCAGGAGCACTCTACAGTCTTGCCCTCAGCATGCCAAGATCCACAGCAGGAGAATGCACACACACACACACACACACACACACACACACACACAGTCTATGCTCGAGTCTTTAAAATGTGCACCACACAGCTCTCTGGTACCTTTTATAGTGACATAAACTCATTCAACAACTTTATAACCAATTCCCACCTACCGCCTACCTCCAAGCACCCAGCTGGTGCTGGGGGACAGTAGGTAGGCAAGGAAGACTTCATCCATGAACAGTCCACATCACTATGAATACCCAAGTTACCTGTGCACACATGGCCCTGGTCTGTGCATATATCTTACATGCAGGTAACATGATCATACTGCACATGTGTATGACCCTTCAGTGTGCCTAATTGATGAATTAACTGCACACAGTCCACAGACACGCCACCCGTATCATTTATATGCATCTCCATACCACTTATACCTGCATCCCACATATTCCACATGTAATGGGAACACCTCAAATGTGTGTATGATATGTGTGTCTCCTGCACAATGTCATCCATATCCTGCTAATGTACACAATCCTTACATCATATAACCTGAGACAGGTATCACACATAGCCAGCATGGTTGACCTGTATATCCGTTTCCCTATCTCCCCCATAGGAACAGCTATTAGGGCCCAAGCCAGCTCTTCTGGGTGGATCTGGCATGGAAATGAAGGGTCAGCAAGGCAGGGCCTGGACCCCCATTGCAGGAAAAGGAAGGTAGCCCCAGCTTCACGGCTGGTGACCAGGAAATTACAGTCGACACAAAGCCCAGGCAGGCCAGGTAATCAGGCCTCTCCCAGATTCGGCCTGACAGTTTAAATCTAACTCCACTGCCAGGACCAGCTCCCCCACTCCAGTCTCAACCCAGCCCTGGCCTGCTGTAGTAATTAGACCCACGTTTTCATTACGCTGAGATTAGACAGGTCCCCTCTGGCTGGCCAGAGGACGCCCGCAGCTGCACGGGAACCACCCCCGTGTGCACGCATTTACCTGATTATAGAGTTTATTTTATAGCAATTGCTTCAGAGCCCCCGAGGCCTCTTTCGACCCACCCCTGCTCCCCAGACCCCAGAGGCTCTACCAAACCCTGACAAGTGGTTTTTGCCTGATGTGCTGAAGCCACCTCCCCAAGGTCTGCAATCCTGGAGGCTCTGTGAAGCTTGGTCCCCTTTATAAAACTCACTTAAGGAATTTGAGGAGGGAAGGACAAGGATTTCAAGACTCTTCTCCTGGGGTGCACATGGGGGCCCTTAAAGGGAAATCTTCCTTCCAAAGCTGTGTTTCATTTATTCATTCAACAAACACATTGAATACTCAGTTCCTGAGTTGAAGCTGAGCCATGGCTGGGTGAGGAAATCCAGTTGTTCTACACCAGCTGTGTGCCAAGAAGACTACACATGTGGCCACTTCCCTCAGAGAGGTCAGTCTAGTGCGAGACCTGCAGCTTTCACAGCTCTTGTTGCGCGGGGGTTGAGCCATTTGACCTATAGGACTACGCAAAAAAAAAATTTTTTTTTGAGACAGAGTCTCCCTGTAGCCCCAGCTGTCCTGGAACTCACTATGTAGACCAGGCTGGCCTTGAAACTCACAGAAATCCACCTGCCTCTGCCTCCCGCGTGCTGGGATTAAAGGTGTGAGCCACCACGCCCGCTTAGGACCACGCAAAATTTTTTTAAAAAATCTAAGTGCAGGCTGGAGACATGGCTTAGCAGTTAACAGTACTGGCTGCTCTTGCAAAGAGGACCCAGGACAGCTAACAACCATTCATAACTCCAGTTCCAGGGGATCCAGCACCCTCTTTTGATCTCCAACAGCACTGCAAGACACAGGTGAATTTACATACATGCAAGCAATATACACATAAAAAATAGTAATAAGTAGCCAGGTGCGGTGGCACACACCTTTAGTCCCATCACTTGGGAGGCAGAGGCAGGCAGATCTCTGTGAGTTCGAGGCCAGCCTGGTCTACAGAGCGAGTTCCCAGCCAGCTGGGGCTACAGGGAGACCCTGTCTCAAAAAGACCAAAAAAAAAAAAAAAGTAATAAATAAAGTACTTTAAAAAATTAGATGAGAAGTCCCACTTCGGGCAAAAGAGGCAGTCAGTGAAGCAGTCTGCAGAAAGAGGACCTGGTGCATGCAAGGAACTCAAATAAAGGGGGGGGGGGGAAGGTCATTGAAGCCAGAGCTTAGGGTGCAGGAGGTCTAGGTGAAACACCTGAGACAGGAGATGGGCAGGACTCCAGTCAGAAAGGGCCCTGGATGCCAGGCTAAGTTACCTGCACTTTATCCAGAGGACTTGGAAGCCATAGGAGTGTCCTGAGCAAGGGAGGAACTGGATACAGGCCCTAGTGTCTACAGCAGTCATCGTATGCCAGGCCTGGGTCTGAGTGCCCTATATATAGTAACTCAGCTCTTCCTCACATCAGCCCCACAGGCTAGCTCTCAGGCCCATGATTCTGTGTCCTCCAAGGTGTTGAAATTCAGAAGCTTCAGTGACCAAAAAGTTGTCCTGGGCCTGATGCTAAAACCGAGCTAAGGAGGG